CCATCTTTTTAAGTGAGAGAATTTGCACAATTGGTGGCTGACTAAATACTTTTTTGCCCCACTGTATTTAATTTTGATGTTAGCTGGATTTGCAATCCATTAAATGGTTAAAATGTCAATAGAACAATATGATTCTGTCTTACTAATTGTATCAACTGTAACAATTTCATTTATTTCAACCCTGAGTTTTATTTGTCAAAGATATTTAAAGTGATGCAATTAATATTTTCAGACAAGAATACTACTGGAGGAAAGTGATACTATTACAGTCAATTTGCAATTCTGTCAGCTACAGAAGCAGAAATATTTCTGTATAAGCTGTGTGCAGTCATACGAAAACCTGGAATGACTGAGCCAGTTGTTTCCTATAAATTACATACTATGTTAAAATATTCCAAATATATTTCCTTTCGTTATGGAAAAGGCATTTGGAATTTGGCTCAAATGAGTGATAGGTGACATTGTAGGAGATTTACCATGGAGCACATTTGGCCAATCCAATACACGATATAAATATGCCGATGTTTCTCAAAAGCAGGAAAACAAGTGAATCACAATGTCCAATGTTGAATATACACCAGTATATATCTTTAAACATTAAAACGCTAATTGCTAATAGGCAGTTTGAAAAGGTACCGTGTTGAAACACATCGATAACACACGAAGGATTAACTACTTTGGGTTATATATTAAAGTAATATAAGAGCGGGGAAGGAAGACATGACAGATATGACCGGTCAGCTCCTACACCTATTTTTATTTTGTTTTTAATTTTAGAGCGAGACCATGTCCAATGCTGTTTTTTCGTAACTTTCTATTGAAATACTTTTTACAATCATAAAGAATATCACCCCTTCTTCTGCCCGCCGTTTATCTCCGCTGTCTTACCGCTCACACGCCTGATATAAATGAAATGCAACTTCAGAACAGAATTAAGCAATTAAAGGTGCAAAAAGGATATAAAGAAAACAGACCTATGTATCGAAACGGGTTTTTTTCCCTGCGCACCCGAGCTTCATACTTCCAAGCAGAGTACAAATTATCTACCTTGCCCATTTGCTTTGCCCGACTGAGGCCGATATGCGCGTGCGAATTCGAAACTTCCGAACGTGCCCGTGTTTCGTTCCGTTCCGCCACGCCACGCCCTCGGCCAAATGCGCGCAGGAACAAAGCTTCATTTGCCCGGCAAAGCTTTGAGCGTCTCCCCGCGGCATTTCGCCGCGCCCCCACGAACATCCGAACTCTCGGCAACCAATAGAAGTGCGGCTCCTCGCACGAGACCGCTCTCGCTGTCTCACCCGCGCACCGCCTCGATCGATCAGACAATGGCAGCGGCGGCGTGGGAGCAGAGGACGCCCTTCAGTCTCTGCCACGCCTGCGCAGTGGGTTCTGCTGATGCCGTGCCTAGTCAGCCGGCTTTGCCAGTACCGGTAGCTGCTGCAAAGATTTGGCCTCCTAACGGTAAGTCCCGGGCCTGGCGAGATTGCCTGCTCGTAAGTGCTGATCTGTAGCCCTGATTTAATTCTAGGGTTTCTTTTTTCTTTCTCCCAACTCTTTCTACTGCTTTGACACAGCAGCTCGTAGGGTTCAGAGGCAAGTGCGTTCCAACACGCTAAGAACTGCCTTATCACGGTTGTATGTATGTGAAGGTTGAGAGCCCTGGCCCTTAGAAAATCCGACGTCACCCTTCTCCGGACAGATCCATTAAATACGCAAGTCCAGATAACTGCAGCCCTAATTTGTGAAGTGGTATGGTGTTGTGTACTCTTATTCAAACAGCAGCAAAATGAAACAGGAAGAGCTAAATGTGTGCAGATTGTATACCTTTTTTTTTAAAACTCTCAGAAGCTTCAGATATGCTTCTTGGATGCTGGAGCTGCGATTCAGCATAGATGCCCCACCACTCCTTTTCTAAATGTGTCCTGAAGGCCCGGCAGCATGTATTTGGAAGTAGGTACTGAAAAGGGATGGTTTGATGTGCCACTTCCACTTCGAAGAAAATTTACACATGGATTAGGTCAGACAGTCAGATAGTAAATGACAGGGGAAGGGCACAAAGGACCCTCCCCAGCCAGTAATAATCTCTCCCTTTCCAAGACCACCACCTCTGCTCCAAGAGAAAAGCAGGAAGTATTGAAAGACAACAACCATTACTCCAGTTCCCCCCTCTTGCTAACCTTATGTGGCTAGGGGAAGGTGAGGAAATAGAAAAACTGACAGTTGATCTCAAAAAGCTATGCATGGTCAGACGTGATTAGTACTTGGATGAGAGACCACCAGGAGATCCCAGGGCTTTACGCTAAACTGGGAAATGCAGAAAAGAACATTCTAAAAAAGGAAGTGACAAGCCACTTTCTGTTGTTTCCAAGAAAACAATAAAGAAGCCCTGAGCAATGCCAGCCTTGCCTCACCATCCTGCTGCACCATGCCATCTCCCCATTTCCTGGTGGCTTTCCTCTGCATGGAGCAGCAGGATAGGTGAGGCAAGGCTGGCATCACTCAGGGCCTACTTCTGCTCCACAGCCGCTAGGATGTCAGAAAGCTGGAAAAGGAGGATAAAAGCAGCAGCCATGAAAACATCTCTCCGCAAAGTTGGCTGGTGGAGGAACATGCCTCCTGACCCAGCAGGAGCCATCTCTGCCTAAAGAGAAGAACAAGGATGCTCCAGTGAAGCTGAGGTGAAAAAGCTGCTATGTTTTCTCAAAGATGCTCTTTTGCCATTTGGTGTTTTCTAGTTATAATTAATGAGGAAGAGGTAGGTTTGAGAGCCTCAAGTACCTCCTAGAGCTCTTCTGGTTGGAAACTAACCAGCCTGAGGCAGAAAGTGATACCAGCCCCTTGCGATGCACACGGGGAGGCTACTGAGTGCTAGGAAATGGCCAGGCCGGTGCTGCCGTATGGCCACTATCTGGGTGCACGTGCTGGCAAAGGATGAGGAAGAGCCCTGCAAAGATAAAGTAATACGGAGCCTCCAGGTGAGCAGATTGGGTCTCACAGAGGCAGAATCGTGTTCTCAGTAGGTGCCTTCTCAAAGGATGCTGAAAAGATGACTTATGCATTCTTCATTTCTGGAAATGCTCATACTGTTTCCATCCTACACTGAATTCACAGATTGCTTGGCCAGCAGAAAACCAAAGAAAACAGCTGGATATAATTGAGTTGTATCAGCTAACACAAGTTAATCAAAATCTAATTAGCAGGATTCCCTAGCAGAGAAAGGAATTTAGGTGGGGTTTTTTTTGGAGAGTAGCTAGACTACCTGCTCATGGCAAGTATCACCTGTGTCGGATCATAATCAAAAAATGTAAGACTGGACAGCTATTTTTTATGCATAAACATGTTAAAGAGTATTTATATAACCTTTCCAGCCTGGTACCTTTAAGTATGAATAGGAAAACATTTTATATTCAGTGAGATTTACTTCAAAGCAAATACATGTATATTTTTAGCCTTGATCTTAAAATTCTGGAACAAAACAATGCTTAGAAACTAACAAAATCTCTAAGCTTTCCAATCAAAGGAGTTTCTAAGGAAGAGCACTGGGCAGACCAATGTTAACCTTTATTTGTGTATGTATAAAATCTGAATGAGGGAAATCCAGAATATGAGGTTAATAAGACTGAAGACAAAGATATTTTTTCTCAGCATCCGTATTGTATTGCATGGTATTTTAAAAGTTACAAGTAACTGAAATATGACATTCTATGTAGGTAAAGATGGCTGATCCTTGGGAAGAATGCATGAACTACGCAGTTGCTTTAGCAAGAAAAGCTGGAGAGGTATGAATAATTTACCTTCTACTGGGATCATAGAAACATTTTAGAAACCTACAAAACAAAAACTCATTCTCAAAACTGGATTAAATATTCAAGTACTGATTTTAATATTTAACCTTTGCAGCTTGGAAATCATGGCTTGTCACCAGTAATGAATAACTGTAATACCACATTTCAGTACTGCTGTAAGAACCACAAAAATGATGAATTGCGGATACTTGTGCTCGCTAGGCCCTAAGCTGGCCCAACCTTGCCTAAGAATATTAACTTCTAAGAAGTTATATGTGCTCAAGAACCTGACTTGTACTTTTATCTAGTATCTAAGCAGCACAAAGAAATGAGGGATTTACAAAGCAAACAAGGAACCACATTTATTTTAAAATATAAAAATAAATATAAGATTTAGAAACCCTAAATCTTAATCAACTTATTAGAAAATTTAAACAATTAAGTCATCCTTAGAATTGTGTATTTCCTATGGTGCCCTCATATATATTAGTTATGCATAGCACCTGAACACAACCTGAAAAAGGGTTCTTCCATTTTCCATATTTTTTATCATTATAAGCATGATACCTTGTAAAATAAGAAGTGAATTTGAGTCTTTTGTTATAATTTTTTCTTGCTGCTTCTACCTTCTACCCCAGCAGGAAAGGTTTTAACTTAAGTCTTACTGAAAATTAAGCATACCATTTACCATGTCCTGTTTTCAAAATAACCATATAAAGATTTTTCTGTACAGATAATCCGGGAGGCATTGACAGAGGATGTAACTGTTATGATTAAAAGTTCTCCAGCAGATCTAGTCACAGTCACTGATCAAAAAGTGGAAAATATGATTATATCTTCTATAAAAGAAAAGTATCCATCTCACAGGTACGGCATATCTTATGATGTTAGTTGCAAAGAGATACACCTCTGAAATATAAGTCTGAGCTCAGCAAGGTACCCCTGAATAGGATCTTGGAGTTATCATTGATTAACTCATTGAATACAAGTCATTAATGTCAGGTGGTTGCCTGACAAATGCAATTTAGGCTGCATTAATAGAAGCAATAATAGAAACATAGATTCCAAGTCAGGGAAAGATATAACTCCACTATGTGCTACATTGGTCTGAGTCCATCTTGAATCTGGTTACCCATTTAAGAAAGATTCAGAGAAAATCTTGCAAAGAGGGGCAATAATGATTGGGTGGCTAGAAATCAAGTGTTACAAGGAAAGAATGAGGAAACTGGATATAATTATACAAGAGAAGGAGAGAAAGCGAATACACCCTCTTCTCGTTTAGCGACTGCAATCTGTTCCTTAAATCAGAAGCAAAATGGTCACTAAGCGAACACAAGACTGAGAAAGAGAGAGAGACTGCGAAGACCACTGGTTGCTGCCATCTCATTCAAATAAAGTTCTTTTGTACAGTTTCCTGTGCCTGACACTTCCCCCACTTTTTTTTGCCCCCCCCCC